TTTTACTTATATTACATTCATTCTGTCTGACAAAATGTAAGTTTTAATGGGCCTGTGAGGAGGTATTTATTCACCTTATTTTTCTGTATTCTTTATTGCCAATTCACTGGTAATCATTGAGACTATTCAGTGGTAATTTCTCATTTAGCTTCCATTTTGATCTCTTGTAGAACACATTTGTTCTTGTCACTACCCTGCTTTTTTATAATAAAAACCTTAAAGACTTCTTGGCTTTGAAGTCAAGGTACTTAGCAATCTTGCCCCTACTTACTTTCCGAATTTAATCTCTTGGTATTCCCCTGTTTTTTTAAAAAAAACTCAAGACATAGCCAGATTCTTTTTATTCCCTAAAACCCTCTGTGCTTTTGTTATAACTCTGTGCCTTTATATTCACACATTCTCCAACCTAGAATGCTTTCACACTCATACCTGCTGGTAAGTTCTTACTCTTCCTTTAAGATACTGCTCAAGCAGTACTTCCTCTCTGAAGCTTCCGCGTTATTCATATCTGTCCATTCCAACAACATTAATAGCTTCCCTTCTCTGCTTTCATAGTACCTTGAAATTACCCATGTTAGCACTTACACTGTTTTGTAATTTTCTGTTTATGCATCTGTTTCCCACACTGGACCAAATTCCTTAAAAACAAGTCACACGTGTTATTTATCTTTGTATACTCCATCACAATGCTGGGTACGTCTGAAATTTGTCAGAAGTGTTTGCTGAATTGATGCATAAATAAATGATTCCTAAGCACATTATAGAATTTGCTAGAGTTCCTCCTTAGGGAGAACTTTATATATGCACAAATCCACACAAAACGCTTACTCATTCACTCACATAACCCTTGGCATTTACCCAGAAAGGGGGCCTCTCTAGGATTAGTTCAGGACCATTGCCATAGGCTATGATGGTTAAACTGGCCTTCTTTCCAGCCCACCTGGAAAAACTCAGCTTTCTGTATTCTCTTTCAATCGTCTGAATCACAGATCCCTAAGAAAGTTTTTGCCTTGGCAGTTTCTGTTTTTTCCTCATAGACTGTCTTTTTTCATCTAACTGAAAGTTTGCCTTTACACAGACTGTGATATGGGAGTTGAAGGATGAATTAAACTCAGGGAAATAGAGAGAGCAGGAATTCCTGGAGTAAAGGGGACCAGTGCTTTCCCTTGTTGCCTAGTGTGGTACTGTTGACCTTCCGTTATTTAGGAATGGTGTTGCTGGTAAAGACTCTTAGGCCAGCTGGAAAGCAGTAGTCTCCAAGTACATAGCTGTAGGTCTAGGCTTCTTCCAACTGCTTTCCATGAGAAGACATATTATGAACATTGAACTCACAAATGATTCCTCTGCTATTAAAAGTAAAAGAATCTGCCTCTTAGAATTATGAGCAATTCTCTAGGATAACTCTGGATTCTGACACAGAGCATTGGCTACTTTAGAATGAATTGCTTCCCCCCCCCACCCCTTTTTAACTTGATGTTATTTCTGAAAATAAATGAGCAGCATGAAGTCACATTTGATATGTAGATTCTTAAGTTAATTATAGCAGAAAGTCAATTTTAGGCTTCAAATATTCAGATTAATAGCATACCTTTTAAAAATAATTCTATATTATTATATAGAGTTTTCCTTATCTGTTTAAAAGGGATTTCCTAAAATACAATCTCTTTTTAAATTTCTGAGTTTATAAACATATATACAGGCATATGTATTTTTATTGCTATAACAATAATTCCCTCACCAGTTTGTTTCATGAAGCAGTTTTGGGAAGTTAAGGGACACTTTCTAAATATTCTTTTGATGTTAGGGCCCCTTTATATTTTCTTAAAATTCTGACTCTGATCATATATCAGATCCAATTTAAAAGTAGCTTCAAAACTTTTGATCTCTCTGGATAAGTCTCTTCTTCTCCCTAAATCTTGGTTCATTAATACAACATTTCTAGTTTTAACTTGGAATGTCCCATTCATTTTGCAGTTGACTCTGCTTGGGAGAGAGAAAAGGAGACAAGAAAAAAAAGATGTGCATACACCCTGGTGTTTTCTATTTTCCCTTAATTCACATTTTTATACTATGTACTGTGCTTGAATTTCTCAATTTCTGGGTGTATTTCTTGTGAGAATAGAGATCTGCTGTGTAATTAATTCAGTGTCAGTCAGTGTCATGTAAATAATATGTACTATGGGAGGACAGACAAGGTCAGTGTAGGACAGTTGGTAGGGTGGGCCCTGAACTCTATACCTTGGAGAGGGTGGAATTTAGTCAGGTAGAAGTGAGTAGGAAGGATATGTTAAGACTACAGTATGGAATGAGAGGGAGAGAGATTGGGTTAGGTTTGGACATGTCTGGGAGTATCAATTGGTATGGAGTAGAAGATCTACTAAAACCAGAGTCTAAAAATCTACGATGATCAGTCTGTAGGAGATTAAAACTGCCTGTTAACAATGAAATACATCTTGTAAGTGAACAAATAAATGGAAGCTGGCTATTTGGTGTTGCTAGAGGTGAAGAAAAGCTATGACAGTAAAAGCAGATCTCAAATGTTAATCACCTGTAGCAAAGTAGTTAACTTAGAATAATATTGAAATGTTTTTGCATCTGACAGTCTCCACAAGCCTGTCTCCTTTTATATGTATGCATGCAAGTATATAAATTGCTGAATTCATGTCAGTTGTAAAGTAATGGCACTGAGGGCATCATAAATTACTATGGTGATCCTCAGGAGAAGACACTGTCGTATCTGAATGAGTGTTTCACTTCCAGAGTAATGTATGCCTTCGTCTGGCCCAGCAGTCAGCATATTGCCCTGTGTTGATGGATATTGTCAGCTGGAAGCTACACTACATTTCACTGCACAATAAACATGGCTGTCAAACCCATATAAAGTGAAATCAATTTATCCTGTATGGTCAGTGCATTTTAAATGAAATTAATGTACTGTGGGTATGGTGGCGAAAAGGTAGCATATTAGTTATGCATCTTGGGATCTGAGACTTTTCATGTAAGGGATCATTCTGTCTAGTCAGCCTAAAAGAAAGGCTGTTTATAAAATATTTTATTTTGCATGGTCTTCAGAAAGGGGCCCCTCTGCCCTTCTTCATGTTTAGAAAAGAATTGACAGTATTAGCCAGTTCAGCCCTTTTATTCTGTCTTTTGTTTGCAATAAATGATGACCATATTTGCCAAATAATAGTGCACTTTAATGTTCTAATTTATTCCTAGCTCTGACACAAACAAATTTCTACTTCATCAAGGTAGCTAGAAATAGAGTAGAAGGGCAGAGATGGATTGGATCATGTTGTTCCTGTATAATCACTCCACTGAGCTGAAAGGATTTACTTTTTCCAAAATGTAGAGATGTAGGTTTTAATGCATATTTTGCTTCTAAACTTTTGGGCGTAGGCTTTCCTGTTTATGCAGTAGAAGCCCTGGCTGAGGCCATCAGTCCAACTTTACATTTAACTCTAGGGGTTCTCAATCTATAGGGAGATATATAGTAGTTGCCACCTGTAAAGCACCCATCAGTGTATCATGCTGGTAGGGGGTATGAAAGCAAGCAAGAGCTATATTCATTCATTGATTCATTTATTCAACCATTCATTAACTGAATGTATTTTACTAACTGAAACTCTGGATGCCATGTGCTTTATTGGAACCTAGGGATACAGCAGTGAAGGAGAGCCAGTTCCTGCCATATCCTCAAGAAGGTTTCAATCTAGTAGGTTACTATGGTCACTTCTTTGGAAACTATAAAATATCAGGGATTTAGACTTAGTTTCATAGACGATATTAAAGAACTATGCTCACACAGCAGAAAAATATATCAGGACCCTTGAAATGACTGCCTTTTAGTCTACTAGTTTTGCATATGAGTTGAAAACTGAACAGTCCTTTACTTAATAAGTATTTGAGTATCTATTACATGGAAAATCCTGGGGATACAAAAATGAGTGCAACATAAACACTAACTTTAGGGGTCTCATATTCCTGGGGATGGAATGGAAATATTAGAGAGAGATAGCCACATAAGCAAGTAATTTCTTTGGAGCATGTAACATTAAAAGAAAGAGGAATGAATGCATCCTGGGAGACATCATTGCAAATGCCCTTCCTTTGGCTTGAATTACCCTTCCCATCGTCTTTACTACCCGCCCCCATTCACGTGCTAATTCCTATTCATCCTCCAAGACTCAGCTTAGATGTCACCTCTCCTAGGAGGCATTAGCTCACTGTCCCGTCTGCTGGCACCCTCTTGATGCCCTGTTTACTTCAATATTAGAGCACTTACCATACACTGTTACAATTGTCTGTTTGGGGTCTGTCTCCTCCCTGAACTGTGAGCTCCTTTAAAAGCAGGTGCTGTTTTATTCACTTTTGTATACCTAGCACCTGGCATAAAGCCTAACTCATAGTAATTGCTCAGTTAATAGTTATCATTGAATTACTAATTAATTCATGCAACACACAACATTTGAATAGGCCTTAAAGAATGAGTGGGATTTAGCATGAAGAAGTAGGAGAAGGGGCTTCCAGGCAGTGAGGGGAGCACTGGCCAAGGCACAGTATTGTGAAAGAGAGTGCTATTGGGGGTAAGAGATAGTTTGAAGTGGCTACAATGTTTGGCAAATGAGGCTAAAATGATAGGTAAGAGCCTGCTTTGAAGGGAGAAATCACGCAGGAAAGGTTACCTGGAATTGATTGTGGTAAAAATGTACTAGGTATATAAAAACATGCAAAATTAATTCTGCCCAGTGTGTCTTTGAGGCCTACCTCAGAAGAGCCTGTAGAACTGTCATCTAAAACTGTCTTCTGCTTCCAAGAGTTCATTTAAAAAGAAGAGAAGGGCCTAGGGAAAACAGCTGAACCAGGTGGCCAGCTATGTTAACAGTCTCCAGATAATAATGCTTTGCACCCATCTTGTTCTTCCTGCCCTGACATTACAGGAAGTAAAGCAATGAATGGCTCTGCAGCTAAACTACAGCAGTATTATTGTTGGCCAACAGGAGGTGCCACTGTGGCTGAAGCACGAGTCTACAGGGATGCCCGTGGCCGGGCCAGCAGTGAGCCACACATCAAGCGACCAATGAATGCATTCATGGTTTGGGCCAAGGATGAGAGGAGGAAAATCCTTCAGGCCTTTCCTGACATGCATAACTCCAACATTAGCAAAATCTTAGGTGAGTGCAGCCGCTGATGCTGATCTTCTAACGAGTGGAAAGAAGGGGCCTAATGTGACACCTAAGGGAGACTGTGGTTTGCGGAAGTTAGGTGGAGCTCAGCAAGCTGCCCTAGGAGACTGTCGTCATCTCTGCATTTCCCACCCTGCACCGGAGCCTTTAGGTTTAGGAGTTAGTACATCCACCAGGTGCCAGGGCAGGACTGACTAAACACTTGTTTTAGAGACAAAACTGTCTATTGTATGTGTTAATAGGACAACTCTGAGAGGTCACTGCAAAATAAGAATCATGGAGACAAGCTTTATCTCCTTTTCTTAATTCAGTCTTTTAAAATTCGTAAGTTGCTGTGAAACGCTGGGAACACTCATAGACCCTACGGTTTTCTGCTTTAGAATTCTTGGGCTCATATGTCCCTCTGAAAGAACTCACCAAGGGCTAGGGGTGAGCCCCCAAATAGTGTGAAATTTATGGAGTGTAGAACAGTGCCTCTAATGATAACTTTAAAACTTGTAAAATAAAACTACATTTACTTTAATAAGATATGACTAGTTCAAATTTCATAGCAGTGAGTTGAACACAGAGACCACAGGGCAGAGGCCCATTTTGTGGTAACTTGCCAGAGTGATTCTCCCGTTTCTCCGGATTAAACTCAAGCCTTGTTCTATTAGTGTAAAGCTTGCCTAGTGCAGATTATACAGTTTGGAACTATTGTGCTTAACATATTGAACGTATTTTATTCAACATGCAGCATTACAGTCAACATGTTTCCTCTTTAAAAAGAAAAAACACAGAAGGCACTGTTCTATTTAAGCTGTCATGATGTGACAAAATCTCAAAGACAGCCGTTTAAGAAGCCGAAAAACATTAGAGACTTAAACTGTGGTTTTCATTTTTTAAATGTTTTGTTCAAAAGCAATAAATATTTAACCTGAGTAAATATCAGTGATCTGGACATACACAAATACACATGTTTTATCACTGTATAAATAATTTAACTTGATTCTGAGACATTTTGAGGCAGCGACCCCTAAGAAAATTTTGAAGATACGTGAGATCAAATAGTGTTGAAATGTTAAAATACAAGTTTTTCCTTTTTTTCTTTTTGACTTTTGAATTTCAAGATGGATACTAACTGTCATTACAGTTAAGTGGGGTTTTATTTTTAGAGTTTCAGAGATACACATAGGGGCATTATTCTTATAAATTTAAATACCTTTCAAACCAAAATGGTCCTAATATATATATTAACATTTTTTCTAATTAATAGACACTCAAAAGAAAATCATTATTTCCCTGTCCCTAAATTTTGATATCTAACTTGGAAATTTTCCCCTTTTTGGCCATTTTATTAGCAGTATGAGTAAGCTCTCCAGTGGGCACAGAACCTCTCTGTTTCCATTTTGGCATCTGTGGGGAATCTATATTATTGGCGTGTATTCGTGAAAAAAATTAAGAGTATAGTAAGTATATTCATTAAAATGTAAACTTTTAAGCACAAGAATTTTAAGAGCACCAAAAACCTTAACTGGGACTCTAAGCTGCTGGGAGCCAGCCGAACACAGAGAAGCCTGTCCGTGTAGACTCTCTACACAACTTTTGCACAACAATCAGGAAAAACAGGAATGGATGTGCTATTAAAACAGACCAGGATATTGCTGGCTGCATAGAATATTTGTACAACTTTTCCATTTGTTTATGTATGAAAAATCTCCACTGAAGAATAGCTGACATCCAGTCAGCACAGCTGTTACCGCTTTATTCACCAGCGAGACACAAAAATGCAATTTGATACACGTAAAAAAACACATCCCTTCTTCGTCAAGTGTTTAGATAATTCTTTATAAACAATATTAGAGAAGTGAATACTTTTCCTTCTTCCTGTATAAACCATATTAAAAATTTTTGTACTTTCATTGGTATGGCTTTGAATGAATGTTTATAGTACTTGAAAATGGTATATATGTGTGTATATATATATATATATATATATGTATGTATGTATATATATATATAATTCCACTGTACCTTCCGGTTCTAAAGCTATAACTTCTTAAGTAGAGTGTAGACTTTTAATTACCCTAGGCCAGGGGGTACAGTGTGCACCTTAGGTTTTTATATTTGGAAGAATATCAACATCTAACATCTTATCAAAGGACAGCTTCACTAAAGATGCTTGGAGTGTGGGAGATGTTTGAATTTCTGGAACCAAGAGAGTTTTTCCTGAGAATTCTGTCATACTCCAAAGTATACTTAGGAAGTCTAGGTTTTTAACCCTAGGCAGATGGATGGGGAAACAACCTTGGTGCAGGAGACGATCTTAAGAAGCAAAGACGTGTTTTAAAACAATATACTTATGGTAGCATCAGCTTTAAGTTATTGAGGGAAATAATATAATAAATGTATCACATCCAAATTATTCTTTGCTCTATAGTCTAAAACACGAGTTGCGTGGCTCGATGGTATGTGGTAATAGGAGCTACCCAGAGCACAGGTGAATGAAGTGGTGGGAAGGTATATCTAGTTATTTGCCAGGAGTATGTTGTATGTTGCCTTGACCACTTGGGTACTTAAGGCTATTTTTGTGTCTAGGGTCTCGCTGGAAATCCATGTCCAACCAAGAGAAGCAACCTTATTATGAGGAGCAGGCCCGGCTAAGCAAGATCCACTTAGAGAAGTACCCGAACTATAAATACAAACCTCGACCGAAACGCACCTGCATTGTCGATGGCAAAAAGCTCCGGATTGGGGAGTATAAGCAACTGATGAGATCTCGGAGACAGGAGATGAGGCAGTTCTTTACCGTGGGGTAAGTGTTCCTGCATTTAACCACCTGGGCTTTCCCGCGGTAAGAAACCACAGGATGGCTACTGGCAGTGTTTGGGGGAAGGAGATTAGGGAAGGGAAGAGGTTGTGACATACCGAAGGGGCCTGTCACAAGCGCACAGCCTTGCAGCATGGCTTCTGCTCAAATCAAAACAAACAGGCAACAGATCACTCCCAACTGATAACCCCTTTCATTGTCTCTCAAAGTAATCTAGGATGTCCAGTGCCCACACACAAAGTTTCTGGTAGTTTATTTAAGCAGACACACAGGGAGAAAAAAAGAGTAAAAACTAACCTTAAGAAATCCCCAGAAGCTTTCTAGCTTCTCTGGGTGGTGCTTCTGACTCTAATCACAATAGTCTGCTTTTGTTGTGGGATTTACCACAAGATAATTGGCCTTGACATTGGTTAGAGGACCTCATTTTTGGCATAAGATCCAGAACTCCTGTTGCAGTAAATTATTCTGTGGTAGAAGCAGTAACAATGTGGATTTTCTTGCTTAAATCAGAAACTAGACATGTTTTTGATATCTTCAAGTCTGATTTCATGTCATTTTGTTTAAAAATTAGGTAATAGATTTCTGGTATAAATTTCCACTTGGCTGACTGGCTGTCTGTACTCGAAAGAGGCCTCTTGTAACCACAGTGGTCAGCAGAGCGGGGTGCAGATGTCTGTAGGTTCCAGCACACTCAGACCTAGCAGCACAGGGGTGGCAAACCAGAGGGCCGTCTGGAGGCAGTGGCCTGAGGCAGCTGGCATCAGACTGGGGAGACACTTGGGAAAGGGCTTGAGAGAGAGAACTGGAGGAAGCAAAAAGGAAGCTGTGTTCACTGTTAACTGGAAGGGGAATTGAGGAGCTGTGCTGTGCCAGGGAAACAAGAAAGCTTCACTTGGAGGTGAAGAAAAGAGATGCCTTAAAGGAGGAGTAAAGAACCATTTATTTTTAAGGACACTCAGAAAATAACCTCATGAAACACAAGGCTGGTTTCAGAAGCATGTGTTTAAAAACATACTACTAATTTGGAAAAGTAAATAGTCAGAATACAAAAAAAAAAAAAAAAGGCCAATGAGAGCAGTCTGGGTCACTATACAATACACTAGAGTGTTCTGGGGAGGAGCATCGGCTTCTGCGTTTGACCACTGAGTTTGAGACGCTGTGCGACCTATTTGGGCAAGTTATTTAACTTTTCTAAGCTTCTGTTTTCTCATGTGTGAAGTGAAATGAATAATAGTACCTATCTCTAACGATTGTTGAGAGGATTCAATGAGGCAGTGCTTTTAAAAGTACTTTGTATAATGCTTAGTACAATATCAATAAAGGTGAATTCCTGTCATTATTATTACTATTAAATATGGATTTGCTATCAGAGTAAAACTATATTTTATATCACACTAGATAATCAATGAATTTCTTTACACTATGGCAGAACCTTTTCGAGGTAAAGTGAGGCTTAAATCACTTTGTTATTTGGGGATCCCAGTGTATTAACAGCTGAAGACATGCCAAAATAGGATATCAAATTCTTCTGTGTTACAAATGTTTGCATTTTAAAAAGTAATGCCTTTAACACCAAAAGTACAATACAATATAATTGGGCTACTCACATGTTAATTAGAGAATTTATTAAATATACCAAGTCACAGTGTACTCTAGGAAGTATAGTTGTAGGTAACAAAATATAAATTTAAGACTGTGTAATGTCTTCTTTTAATCCTGTTAGTCTATCTCTGAAAAGGTATGTAGTCACTTTTGAGCGGAGAATCAAAAGTTTAAATTTGAGATGTTTTGTCATTCCCACCCTTCTCTCAGTCATGTCCCCTGTGTTGCATAGTGGGTCTCTTTTGCCATAGTCTGGAAGATTATCAAAGGTACCATTTTAGTTCCCTGATACTTATTTGAAAATATGAGATGGAGTAATTCTATTTAATTTAGTCCTCTTTACCAAAGGGAACATTGATACCAGCTCTGGACCGAAATACCTCAACACATAACAATGCATGTAAAATGAAACTCTAAAACAACTCAATAGCATCTACCACTTATTGAATGCCTACTGTATACGAGGTGTTTTAGGTATACAAAGTATATAATCCTCTAAATAAGATAAAGAAATGGAGGCTTCAAGAGGTCCTACGGCTACTGAAAGGGGAGCAAGAGCAAAGGATTAAATCAGGTCTCTGCCTCTGTCATGCCAAATGACTGAGGAATTGTCTTCACAACATTGCTTCAAAATATGCCTCAGAGTCCTATTCTGCACAGTTGTGAGTATGACTGTGCCATTTGAGGAAGAGCTCCTAGAACCTAGAGAAAATAAGGTCTTTTGTTGTGGTATACAGTAGCATAAAAGGAGCTTGGAAATTTAGAGACTAAGGATTCTGATGGCGTAGAGGTCCTTTGTGGAAGGCTCATTTTAGACTGTGGAATAGGGCTATGGATGTGCAGGCAATGGCCAGAATATCTTACTCTTAAATCTCCAGTGCTCAGTATTCTCCTCTGCCCAGTTTTGATAATACTTGCTACATAAAGCCAGGTATTATTTCCACTTAAGGATTCGTATTTTCTTTTAAGTAGTTGTATTTGATAGATTATTAACTCCCTGGGGTTCATCTTTGCAAACTGATCTTCATTAGATACGAGGTTATTTACAAGAGGGAAAGACAAACAAGAAATTCAAAGATTGCTATTGACTTCTTGAGGGAATGGGGGTGAGATCAATTTTTATAGCTGATTTTGAAAAGACGTGCATAACTTTCAAGCCAATAAAATTACATATATTGCTCAACATTGTCATACATTTTACTGATGATACAACTGGAAATTCAGTGAGTTAGGTTTTTTTTTACTTAGCTATTATGAAATGAATTTATCAGTATATGAAATGGAGTAATATTAGCTCTAGCCTTGGATTTAACCCCTTCAATTGATAGGTTAAGTATCAGAGTTCTATAATAATCCTGATAGGAGTACTATTAATGTTAAGATGATACTTATTAGGGTACATATAGCTACAACATTGTCTTTTCCCAAAGAACTATGGCCAAATGTAATCTATTTCCAATTTATTTAAAGCGTATTCAGTAATTTACGTGTGAACTAATAGAGAATTATGCAGATACTAAAAACTATTAAAATTTGGGGCTACTTTTTAAGTAACAATAATGGTAAATTATTGAATACTTACTTATGCTGAGTGAATTATACAGATTATTGCAGATACAACAAACTTATAAGATAGGCACTATCATCTTCTCTATGAGGTTGAAAAACACAATATTCAGAGATGTTAAATAATTTGTCCAAGTCCACACAGCTAGTAAATAGCAGAGCTGAGATTTAGGCCAGGCTTATGTGAAACATATTTCCTTTTCACCCTTACACATACCTCTCAATTAGAGCCTACAAATTTCTTAGAGGCTGTATAGTGTAGTGGTTAAGAATGTCAATTCTGGAGCCAGACTGTTCTGGCTCAAATACTAGCTCTGCTTCTTCCTGGCTCTAGGAACTAGTGCACAGCAATTCTTATTCCTCTGAACTCCCCACTTGCCCTTGGGAAACTTATTTAAACTCTGTGTACCTCAGTTTCCTCATATGTAAAATGGGGATGACAGTAATACCTACAACATCAGACCTTTCTGAAGATTGAATAACTTAATGTATCTAAAGTGCTTGGAACAATGTCTGGCATATAGTAAGTCCCAAATTAGAGTAAATATTATTATCCTAGAGAAATGATGCTATGTGTCAGGTATATATTTCATATTATAAAGAATTATGTTCTCCTGCGTTGTGGTGTAAGTGATTTGAACATTTGCCATTTTGATCTTAATCTCAAAGAGGGTGAATAAAACCTATAAGATACTTACAAATTTAACTGAGTAGCATAGACTAGACATGCTATTTTTAGCATTGTCCTGTAGAGAAAGCCAGATTAGAATCTCTAATAGGTAATGTAAAAAGATGTGCAATTTATAGGTTTAATCTCCTAATGAAGCAAACTTCATTGCCTTCATTTATAGATACTGTAAAGGATCAGCAAACAGGAGCTTTGACAACATAAATAAATAGTTCCATTGCAATTGGCAAAGCTAGACTATACTCCAGGACTCTTCTTGTGATTTGGAAACCATGCAACAATGCTGGACTCTATCAGGAACAGCTCAAACTCTTTACTTGGGCTGGGAGGGAGGGTTCTTAGCCATCTCTACTCATATCAGCTGCATGCGTGTACTTTTACAAATATCTACAACTTTTGTTTTGATGTGCACATTCATTATTTGTAAAGTCCAATGCTTGCCAGCTATCCCTGTTTGTGAAATCTGCAGTGTTTGAATTTTGACTTTGCAATTGATCTGTAAAGGAAGGAAAAATGCTTTTTAGGAAAGTAACTTCCGATAGACAAAGCTTGAGCCTGCTGGCCAGATTTTCCATTTTGTTAATTGATTAGTCAGTCAGTTGGTAAGGGCCTATTTGAAACCAGCTGTGTGCCTAGTACTGTACTAAATTAATATAGTACATGAGGTATTAATTCTGTACACAGTGAGCTTTCAGAGAATGCTATAGTCAGAGAATCCAGACATATACATGAATAGGTTAGCAAATAATAGTTTGTTATACACACATGCACACACAGAATACATTGCATAGTGCTCCACATAATGTATAATGGAATACTAATTTTGATTATATAGACAAGAGCAAGTAAAGCTCTGAGGGAGGGAGATTCCTATGCATTAGGGCCACGCATAGGCCATTCTTGAGGAAGGGGACTTGAGGTTTGGGTAGGGTCAGGCTGGTGGAAAGTACAGGTAAAGATTCCTATTTTAGCATGAAGGAGAGCATGAACAAATGGGGGAAATGTGAAAATGTTCAAAAATAAATAAGGAGGCTATCCTAGGAATTTTTTCTGGCAGTAAGAAAAGTAAAATATGTAGGGTGGAATAATATTTTGGAAACCCTTGAAAGCCAGATTTCTTCAATTATAATTACCTATGCTCACTTCATTTTTTTAGTCTCTTTTTATGCTGATAATGACAACGAGAGCAAGACCAACATGACAGTTAGCTTATGATTCTGCATCCACAGAATCAGTGGTCACATAGAAGGGGCCTCAGAAGTCATGTCCTTCATAGCCAGCCATTGTAGGAGTCCTTTCTAAGTTTAGCTTGAACTCTTTCTTTGAGGGCTAGAGAGCTCACCACTTTTCAAGGGAGCTAGTTTCTTTGTGGAACACCTCCTAATGCTAGAAAGTTCTTTCTTCTTAAGTAGGCCATACTCTGCCTTTCTGCTACTTTGTAGATAGGTTCTGATCCTCTTCTTTGGTCACTTCTGGAACAAATCTCTTACTTTTTTGTGAAGAAAATCATTCAAGCATTTAAAGATGATTATATTCACATTCCTTCTCCACTACCCTCTCTCTCATATATCTAAGCTCATTATATCTTTTCTTTTGTAGAACAGGTTACCCAGACTTTTCATTTGTTTTCCTTCTCATTCACTAGTTCATTCTCTCATTCCATGTATTCAACAGATTTTTGTTGAGTGCTTCCTATGTCCCAGGCACTGCTTAAGCTCTGGGACTACATCAGTGAAAAATCCTATCTTCATGAAGCTTCCATTCTAGTGGGGGATGTCAGACAATGAATGAGTAAATGAACGAATAAATAAATAAATATCAAATAATAATAAATGCCTTAGAACAAACTAAAGGAGGGAAAGGGGTAGGGAGTTTTAGAGGATGGATTGCAATTTTAAACTGAGTGGCTATAGAAAACCTCACTGAGAAGATTAACTTGAGCAAAGCCCTGAGGAGGTGAGGGAGCTAGCCATGCAGATATCTGGGAGAACTAGGCAGAGAGAACAGCAATTGCAAAGATCTCGAGGAGAGGTTGTGCCTGGCTTGTTCAAGAAATAATGAGGCCAGAGCAATAGGAGCAGAATGAGTAGGTGGGATGAGTACTAGATTTCAGAGGTAGTAGAGAGCCACATGCTGAAAGGACTTGTTGGCCATTGTGAAGACTTTGAATTTGAATCTGGGTCAGATGGAAAGACATTGAAGAGTTATAAGCAGAAGAGTATTGTGATCTGACTTAGGTTTTAAAAAGATCACTCTATCTACTGTGTTGAAATATTGTCTGAAGGGGATGTGCCCTGAACTAAGGAGGCAGACTCTTACAGTAAACCAGATTAGCATTGGTGGTGGCTTGAACCAGGTTTGTAGAAGTAGAGGTGGCAAAAGTGGAGGGATTTTGGATATGATCCTGAGAGTGAACCAGTAGGATTTGCTGATGGATTGGATATAGGGATATAGGATTGGCCCCAGCAGTCAGAAAGATGAAGTAATCATTAACCAAGATCTGAAAGGCCATGAGAGGAGCCCAGTACATGGGAGAATGATCAGGAGTTCAGTTTTGCACCTTTATTTATCTCTCAGGCTTATTGTGAGGATTAAAGGAGATAACGTGGAAACATCTAAGCATTGTCCATAGCACATAATAAGAGGTCAATTCAAATTTATTTAATATATATAGATATTTTGATTTTAAAATACTGCAAAAAAATGACCATCTATTCTTTGCAAAAAGAAAATGTGCTTCATGAAAAGAAAATGTATCATTTGATAGTTTGCATATGGTATGTAGAATTTATATTATAGATTAGCTCACCATATTGGGAAATCTGTAAAATGGGTTAGTAGTGCAGTAAAAGTTTTCACTCGGCACTCATTACATGATTAAGGCAAAAATATTTTTATTGCAATTATCCAAATTCAGTAAAATATTTAATGAGGCTCTTACTGCCTTGGGTAGGTTAGCATAAAATTTAATTTGTGTTAATTTGCCCAAAACTTAGGAAGCAAGAAGTATACTGTTTTTAGAATTTGATTCTATGAAAGCAAAAACAGTATCTTATCAGATGTTTCTATACATAGATTTAGATTCCTCTATCATCTTCTTTGGGGCAATCAAAAAAATAACCACGAGCATCATAGAAAATGCATCAATATCAGGCACGTAGTATCAACTGGATACCTACAGGCTCTATAGAAATCAGGAATTTTTATGGGATATAGTGAGCATAGTGTATCTGTATATTGAATACCTAGGAAGGAAAGAGTGATGGAATTCAAGTCAGGTGACCTAGGTTCAAATCCCAGCAGTGTTGATTATTGAATGCAGGACCTTAAGCAAGGCCTCATTTTCTTCATCTGAAAACTGGGCATAATAATACCTCATGGGGTTGCCATGTTAACTGAATGAGGTAATATATATGTAAATATTTATATATTATGTTAGTCAAAGGTTAAGGCATCATTATTATGTCTCCTAGTGTTTGAAAGAGGTTGTTAAAAATAGCATTATCAGATATCCCACAGTGTGATTCTAGGCCATTTCCATCATTTCTCCTTCTACCAGGCTGGAAGGCATGCAGACATTTTTGAGAAGTTATGCTCCTTCAGGACGTGTCAAAGAATAGCTGGTAACTAAGCTAGCTCTTCACAAATTCAGCGTATTTTGCTTTTAGATTGAGGTGGATAGAAGTTTCAATGTAGGGGGGGTCAATAAGAATGCTTCAAGTGATGGACCGACCTGAGGCCAAGTATTAACAGGTGGAAGGACTTTCCAGGACTTCCCTGACCCCAGCTTTTATAAATAGATGGAAACTGAGGCTCAGAAAAGAGAGTTACAATGACATTTTGAGGTGAATTAATAATACTGTACATAGAGATTGAGAAACACTTGGTGAATATTGCATCCGTGAGAATATTGTTTCAGTCCTAGTCTTTGAGCTAGGTAGTAGGTCTTCCATTCTTTCAACCAGTTACAATGCCTCAAGGGAAACTGAGAGACAGATAGCCATGTCTCCCTGCAGAGGGAGAGACTGCCCTTTGTAAAGGGTCTGGTAAGTTTATTTGAACTAGAGTGTCATGACGACGGACTGAGCTGGTGTGACCATGCCCTGGCACCCGCTGGGATCTAGGATGAGGCAGCGTGTTATTCTGTTAAGTGGTGGAGCTTTCACTGTTCTTCACTCCTGACTCCTCCAACCCCAGCTCCAGCCCAGGGCCACAGAACTAACGACATCCAAGATGATCCTTTCATAATTAGGAAGTAGAAGCTTCAAGGAGCTTCCCTACAAGTTCAGCCACGGAAATAAGTAGACATTTACACGGATACCAAATACACGCTTTGCCGAATCTGACTCTGGGATATACTGGATCCTTTCTCATCTTGATCTTTCCTTTGTACAGTTCTCAGACCAAGGTGAAGACGCAAACCTGCTTAACAGTATCATTATAGTATGTCTCATATTACCAGCCTATTTTTTGTCATGTCCTGGGAGATCTTAAAAAATGATCTCACATGTAACTTTGTGGAATTAACTATAGTATTTGTTCCAAATGCCAAGGGGTTATCAGAGCTTTGCTTTCATGTTGCAAAGCCATGGATAAATTGCTCCATTGTTGCTTAACACCAATCACATCATCAGGGAGATTTGCAGGACTCCTCCAGGAAACACCTTTGTCACATTTTGTCATTTGCTTAGAATTTCAAAAAGAGCCCCCTTTTAGAACGTGTGAGGGGTGAATTCCGATGCCACACGGAAGAACATACGTATATAGATATTTCCCTCTGTTTTATTTTATTTTTTGAATCTATACAGGCAGCAGCCTCAGATTCCAATCACCACAGGAACAGGTGTTGTGTATCCTGGTGCTATTACTATGGCAACTACCACACCATCACCTCAGATGACATCTGACTGCTCTAGCACCTCCGCCAGTCCAGAGCCCAGCCTCCCGGTCATCCAGAGCACTTATGGAATGAAGACAGACGGCGGAAGCCTAGCTGGAAATGAAATGATTAATGGAGAGGATGAGATGGAAATGTATGACGACTATGAAGATGATCCCAAATCAGACTATAGCAGTGAAAATGAAGCCCCGGAAGCTGTCAGTGCCAACTGAGGAGTGTTTGTTTGCTGAATTAAAATACTCTGACATTTCACCTCCCCTCCCCCAACAGAAAAGTTCTTAAAGAGCCCGCATGCATTTGTGGCTCCACAATTACATCAGCAGAATGGTCTTAATTGTTTCGTAAAGCGTGAGACAGATTAAGTTTTCCCAGATTTTTCATGAACTTGAGTTTTTTGTCGTTATTGTTATTGTTGTTGTTGTTTTTTAATTTAGGTGAAGACATATTAAATATGAGACACCAGGACTTGAAAACTTATCTCAACCCATAGCTGTCTTACAAGTCTTATATTTTGTCTTACTTTTTTTCTTTTGGATGTTGATAAAGGTTTAAGTTACTGTTTTAGATGGGGTTAAACATTCTCACTCAGGTATGCTGTGCCAGCCTACAAGTTGTGAATGTGTTTTTATTCTGAATTATTTTAGAAAACAACTGAGAATTTCATATCGTGAAACAGAACAAGTCCACGGCGTGTGCAGCTGCATGTAGAGCATATTCAAAAGGCCTCAGAATTCCATTTTTCCATGTGTAGAGTTAAACTTTGAATGTGCCAAACTTTTTCATAACTTTTGAATCTTAATATTTTGAAAGTCTTAAAGGAGACACTGCAAAGTCTTAGACAATCTTTGGCATCTTAAAATAAAATAGCAAACCACACTTTTTTTTTTTCAGAAAATGGTGAAGTACTCAGGAATCTGGAGACAAGATATTGTAAGGAATGAACAAGGTTGCCACAGTGCATGTACCCAATTGTGTTTGCCTCTTGACGTGCCATCAGTGTGTGACGTGGTACGACGTCCACGCACCAGAGCGATCACCACACCAGATACCGACATGGTGGTCTTCTCTGCCTGAGACCACCTCTCACTACATCCATTATCCCTTTGCCTTTAACCCTGACATTCAGTCTTAACACATTTTCTCTTAAATAATTTATTCATTCCAGAATGTCAAGGGTCCACTTACTATTTATTTAAAAAAATTGTTGGTGGCATTAATTTAATAATTCTTTTTTCTTACCCTCCTTCCCCAAAGAACTTTTCAGCCCTTTTCACCTCCTTCTCCTGCTAGATACAAAGGTGTACATAGTGATTTTATGTCCCCAGAACATCTGGATGCATTTCTGAAACAAGATACTACTAAATACCTATATTGTTGTTTTTGAACATCAGTGTATATATGGCTATAGAGCTGTGTATTTGGATACAGGTGTAGAGATTTACACTTCAACAGGTATTGCCCCTGAGGTTCCCCGTGACTTTGAATCTTTTGCCAGAATTTTCCCCTAATTCAATTAGGCAACAAGTGGTAGGATCTGCATCAGTGGCATTTCCCCTCAATGCCATTCAGCAGCAAGGGTCAACAGTGGTGACTGCCAGGCAGGGGAGTCCCGCAGCCAATCCTAAAGCCCAAAGCTGTGGTCCATGTAGGAGTCCACAGGGATGCTGTCATGGGCTGGCGCCTTTATACTGAGCTGCCTTGTCCCATCTCGCACATCTAGGGAGTTCTTTGCAAAATCCCCAGGATGCAAGAAGCCACGTGACAGCCTCAAAGCAAAGATAGAGGCAAATAGTCGTGATACATCCAGAGAATGAAAGAAAACCATAGAGAAGGAGAAGGAGGAGAAATACATTCCCTAAATGGGATGTTCCTACTGTTACCTCTGGGGAACAGATCACTCCTGGGGCAGCAGACGAGTTCCTCTGGCTCATTCCCTCCATCTGTGGCTGCATGGGGGTCATGCCTATGTGTGAACAAGATTAACTGCCCTTGTCACACAAGGATTTTTCTGGAGGTGCACTGATGGGCTGGGAAGCAGTGAGGCTTCATTCCCCATCTCCTAACTGCAGGGAGCTCAGCCATGCCATTTTGACCTTCCTGAAACCAGGACTGATTGCCTATGGGGAAGCCTCACCCAGAGTAGTTTGATGGGAGAATGTCAGCAGATGGGACAGTTCACCTCATGGGACAACCAGAATCTGATCACCAGGACATAGGAACGGCCCCATCAGATTTCTTGAGCCATTTTGTCACTTGGAAGAAAATAGTGTACCTTCATATTTATTTAAGAGTGCTCAAGGCCATACCTAATAGCAATAAATAGGTCTAGCCAAGACTTTACTGTCTATGTCATTAGCTAGGAGTGCTCTCTATCAACTGATTAAGGTACTGATAGGAATGTTTGGTTCTTAATATTGATTGGGGATTGGAACTTTGTTTTTGTAAATTTATTTCAAATGAGGAGGAGGTCGTTTTCCTAAAAAAAAAAAAAAAAAGAGTATTTATTATTGTCTTACTGGTTTCTTTTGATTATATACCTCTCCTCCTCTGTTCATTCTCACGTTGTTTTCTCTTTCTCTTTGACTCTTGCCTTTGCCCTCTCCCGCTCCTTTTTAATTTTGTTGCATAAGTAGAGTGCTGTATGGCTAGCATTGTATTGTATGTAATTAATTTTGCACAAAGGCAGACATTTAGAATAGTAGGTTAATTTTGTTTGTTTTTATGACCATGCCAAAATAATATTCTGGGCTGGTGGAGAACAAAGGACTGTTCTTTAGGACTGAAACTTGATTTTGCTTGTAGTTAAAAAAAAAAAAAAAAAAAAGAAACAAAAAAAGAAATCAACAAAAAAAAACAAAAAACACACACACTCACAGATGTTGTTTCATAAGTGTTATAAGCACTGGATATAAATGGTATTTTTTATCACTTCTGACTAATGTGAAGCTGTTGTACGAAAACTACATGAACAAAAGTCATCTGTTTCGACTCGTGTGGGCTTGCCTCACAGTTGCCGGATTTGAGTCATTTTTATGTCTTGTTATTTCATTTATTTATGCAAAATACATGTGTGTATGAACACTTTGTTTTAGCTCCAGCTCTGCCTCAGTACTGGGGTTCAGTTACTTCTAGCCATGTTCTTAAAAATGAAAGGCTATTCAGGAATGATCTGATTGTAAACGTCTCTTTCATTGGGTCAAACAGTGATGCTGTATTTGAATCTAAATTCTGCACATAAGCAGTTTATTCTATTTATTAGCCAAGTTTGGCTCTAAATATCCATGGAAATTAAGAATGACAATCATAGGGATCACGTCATTTTATTTTCAGTGGGGCTTAAACAAAGTTTTTATGACTTCACCATCTCATTTTAGATTTTTCTAATTGTGTAAATATAACATAGAAATAGAATTTATTTTTGGCTCATGAATATTTAGTGAAATATAAGTTATGTATTTCCTTTTTGTTCTCTATCCATATATGTTGGTCCAGACTAGAAGTTGACGAGTCACTGTACCTCATGGGGTAGTGAATTATCAGCCACTGTGAGAAAGCAGAGTCCCACCTGTAGCTGGAGCAGCAAAACCCATCACTTGGGTTCTCATACAGTTTAGAACCCACTGTCCACAGACTCAGACTTTCACTTTTTTTTCTTATAGAAAGTTGATGAATTGAACATGGTGAATTTCCAGCACAGCTGGGAGAGAGTCAATTTGCTTTGTGAATCCACATAAACCTTAGAAGGTAGTTCTGTGACCGTTTAATAGCATGAAGCATGAATGCCATTAGAAAGGCAAAAATTGTTCTCTGAGATTGGCCATTAATGAAGGTCCCACCATGCCAATTAAAGAATGTTAATCAACTTTTTTTTTCCCATCGCTCCCTATTTCATAGTATCTTCAAATCAAAGGTAAAAGTTACCTCCATTTTGTTAAAGAACTTGCAGGATCAGGATTTTCCTTGTCACTTAGAATAGGGACACTGGCAGACAATCCTGTCCTAAAAAATGGACCATATGGAATAGGAAGGAAGGAAAAGAAGAAAAAGAAAGAAAGAAAGAAAGAGAGAAAGAAAGAAAGAAAGAAAGGGAAAGAGGAAGAAAGAAAAGCAAAAGGAAAGAAAGAAAGAAAAGAAAGAAAGAAAGAAAAAGAAAGAAAGAAAGGAAGGAAGGAAGGAAGAAAGGAAGGAAGGAAGGAAGAAAGGAAGAAAGAAAAAAAAAAGAAAGAAAGAAAGTGAGAGAGAAAGAAAAGGTTAATCTGTGGACAGGAGCAGCCAGGCAGGCAGTTTTTCTGTTTCATTGGCAGATGCGATGCAGTATCTTTTCCAGGAAGGTACGAAAGCTTTGTTGTTTTCACCTGTATTCAGCTCACCCTTTTAGGGGCACATCAGTTTGCTTCATTTGGTATTTGATACACCCCAGCCTTGTCCTCAGGCCTGATTTGATTTGCCAGGGTCCTGACACCATCTCTCAGGCCAAGTTCTAAATTCAGGTGCGGGCTCACAGTGCTATTGAGCTTGTCAAATTCTGGCCTCCCCTGAACATTAGCCCTACTGGAGCCTGGGGTGTTTGAAAAGGGTGTGATCACTCTAGGGCTGAAATTAAAGGCTTCTTTCTTTTCCTTATGAAGCCAGGCTGCTTCTCCGGAGCACACCCTCCTGAGCGGGGAGCACAGGCACTAGCTGAAAGCAGGAATTGTTTTGAGGAAGCCCATCTAACCCCAGTAGGAAGGCAGCCCGGTCACTTGAACACCACAGCTGAGGCTGCTTCTCTCAATTTACTCGTCTTGCAAAGAGGTGACCTCTACCTACTCATTAGGGAAAAGAAAAAGAATCAGTTAGTAGTTTTAAACCGTATGAGAAGTCCTGTACCAAGTGCCAACAACTGCAAAGAATGCAGCTAGAGGAATGTATTGACTTTATTACTGGGTCTTCCTTTCTAATGAGAAAATGACAAAAATGGTTGCTGTAGCCTTGCCTGATTTTGTACACGTTTGTTTAAGGACTGAGTTGGCACTTAAACTCACTTCTCAAAGTATAATAATATTGTATGACCTCATTTGTCCTTTTTCAAAAGCACTTGCATCATTTCCTTAAGTCATCTGTCCCCTGACATGTTTTCTTCCTTAATAAACAACTTCTATCTGCTATTCCTGCCGATTATGTTCTGTTTCTGATGCCATGTACTATTGAGTGTAACCCTCTGCTAATATCACTGAAAATATTGATATGCAATCACATTTCCCTTTCATCCCCATGCCATCTTTTCTTTTGGGGACAGATTTCTTCCCAAAAGCCCATGAACAAGTATTTGGAATGCTGGTACCTTTGGGGCAGGGCTAGAGGGGGGAGGGGGACGGGCAAAAAGGTAAAGCTTAGTGCAGATCCTCTTCTAATTGGTGTCCGTGGCAATATGAAAGCTTAAAGGCAACTCAGTGACATATCTTGCTCAGTAGCTTATTCCTGAAGAACCACAAGCAGAAAGTGAGGCCTCAGTGCTGGTGCTCTTGGAATATGGGGAATGTGCAAATATTTAACTGTTTTGTATGCTGCACATTTGCAGACCTGCTCATGTGCATTCTCCGTTTGTCTTCCTTTGTCATACGTGTTTTTGCTTTTTGGAAAAGTGCAGTCTTTATTGTACCCTTTCCAGCTTGTAGCAAATTAGAATGCTTAGCATTTATGTTCATTCATTATTGTATTTGCCATGTAAACTTTTTATTACCTTAGACGAGCTTATAAGCTGTTACTACATAACTTATCTTACTGTAACTCTTTTATTTCCCGACATTGTAATTTGTTTGTGATGTATATTGTGAGATTGTATTCTGTGTTAATTTAATCAGCACAATTCACTGACATGCTGGACTGAATGCTGGCTGCTGTTTCAAAGTGTAAAGTTTGTGTAGGGCTGTTGGGACAACTGCAACTCTGTTGTCAAGGTGCTGTGCTGGTTCCTCTAGCGACACTGCGGGTGCGGCCCTTGGGACGCTAAGGGCGTTGAATACACCCTTGAGCAAATTTTAACTGCAGATATTCTTCGTAGAAATTCTGTGTATAATGCAGGTACCTACTTGGCCCGTGGCTGGTAACTATTTGGGCAATTAGAAGAACAACAAAAACCATAAAAACTAGTGTCTATTGCTGCTTTGAATATGTTTGAAAGTCTGAAAATGTAAATAGTTTATCAAAAAAAAAAATCTTGTACAGTCCAGTGTAAAGTTTTTAAATGACCTTAAGGGTTGCCATCACATCTTTCTCACACTCTCCTCTTGATAATGGAAAAAAAAGTTTGCTAAGGATTAAAGAAATGAGAAAAAAAAAGAATATCTTCAAATTTCAAGGAATGAATCATTGTTCTTAGCTTTGTTGCATACACACACTTTCTTGGATTTCGTTGTGCAGTATTGACGTGAGATAAAACTCAACATTGAATAATCTTTCAGTGGTACTTTTCAAAGTCTTCCCCTCCTCTGCCTCATAATTAAGGGAAAAGACAAAATTGAAAGACACTGTCTTTATCTATCCTGGTGTATGTTGGCACCTTAGCTACTTTTTTTTTTTCCTTTTTGCACAAGGTGCTTTCCTGATATGTTAAACATGCCATCTTTGGGTGATAATGTATATGCCATGATGGGGCCTAGGCCCCTCAGGGGAGTGTCTATAAGAACTGCCTATTTATGCTCATTTACCTCAAGACTGTCCTCTCTACCCTTAATCTAGTCGTCATCACTCCATCTTTTGTACTGCTGTTGACACTTACAAATTAAAGATAAATTTTGTTTTATGACCTCCGTGTACGGCCTTGTCTGTGCCCTGGCAACTCTTCCTAGCCTGAAGCCTGGTCAGCCCTCGGCTCATGCAGCCCTGGCCCACGCTGCCTGCTGCTGGAGCCTGCAGAGCCTTCCTGCTCCCGCCGGTGCTTCTACCTTCGCCGGGAGGTAAGTCTTCAAACCCCTTAGCCTGGAAGACTGGCCTGCTTTCTTCACTGTGGAGCATGCGCTGCGGCAGCAGGAAATGCTTGTGGATTTAGATGGTAGGAACAGGATCCAAGGTGGATTTCTGTCAAGAGAAGATGGGAAAGGATGTCACTTCCTATTTGCCTGACTTCTTCATGAGAGTGAAACAGTTTATGAAAACTCCCAGCATTCCCGGGTATGAACGAATCTCGAGGGCCAACCTCTCACATGACATCAACTTCTACGAGCCTAGCACCCAAGAGTGGAAAATGCTGCGCTTCTGGAACCATTGCCTCCGCTGTGGTTGGGAGTGGTTGGCTGATTTCTCAGCTACTTCTGCCTCAGAGAAGGAGAGTTCCCGGTCTCCTTGCCCAGCTATGAGTTGGCCCGGGAGCGAATGATACCAGCCTCTAAGGGTCCGAGGCCTGGAGGTGGGGTAGCGGACCAAAGTGAGGCGGGCCCTTAAAGGAGACTGGCCAAGCCAGGGCTATGGATCCAGAGGTTAGTGACCAGCACCTGGAGAAGGAAGCAAAGGGCTCAGGGGAGACAGAGGGGAGGCCTAGCGATTTCTTCTTCGATATTTCCTGTGACAAATGCCTCATTAGAGAAAAGCCAAGGATTTGTGGAACTTTTCTTTATCACAGTCAAACTGTCAATTTGATGCAATCTGTTATCAGTCCCGAAAACCTAGCTTTCCAGGCCCCTCCCTCCCGCCCCGTGGGTTTTAAGCGTAGGGGATTGCTTTGGAGTCACACGACCTGGCTCTGCCACTTGCCAGCTCTGTGACCTTCCCTAAGTAACTCCTCTGAGCTTTCTCCTCTGTGAAAAGGGGCGATAAGTCCCTACCACTCAAGGTTATTGGGGGAATTCAATGAAATGGCACGTGTAGAACACCTAGCAGCAGGCCTGTACACAGAGCACGCGAGTGAGCCTGCCTCCTCTGATCGGAGAATGTCTCAGCTAGGGGAGAGCATCGGTGCCACTGGCTGAGCCTCAGTTCGGAATCTGGTCCTGTCTGTGATTACCCTTCCTTCCTCCAAGCTGGTCTCCAGGACACAGATTTCTCATTTCTAGTGTATCCTCACCACTGCCTTTGGTTTTCTTTCTAAAACACAGATCTGATCTGTCCTCCCTCTCATAATCTCTCCTAAAATATTCTGGGTTTCCATAGCTGACCAGATAAAATCCAGACTTCCTACCCTGACACTCAAGTGCCCGCAGACCTGCCAGCCTCATTTTCCACTGTGGCCGTGCATGCCCGCGACTTCATTGCTTCTCTCGCACCCTGGGGCCGACCCACGACCCTGGGACTCTCACTTCTTCTTTGGCTTGGAGTAAATATGTTCTCTTTTCTGTTTGGAAAATTTCCTATCCTTTTTCAAACCCCACCCCAGATATCACCACCTCATCAGGCCTTTCCCAGCTCCCCAGATAGTTTCAGGCTCTCCCTCAGGGCTCCCAAGGTACGTTGAAAGGACCTCTATGATCATGTTTACCACATTGTAATAATCTGTTTCTGTGTCTGTCTTTTCTGCTAGATAACAAGCTACTGAAACCAAGGACTGTACCTTGGTCCTCCCAGCTCCCAGCACAGTGCTTGGCATAGAGTAAGTGCTCAACACTTGTTTGTGGAATGAATGTGTGAATGGTGGCAACTTGGCCTCCATGTGTGGTACAGATGCCTGTGAGTATCAGGGTCTTAGATGGTGGGGATGAGGGAGCCTGTAGGGGTACCTTGGTATTAGCTACTTCGTTTGGAGAACATTTTTATTTGAAGCATCTCTGGTCATTTGGGGGGAACCATTTCAAGTCAGTGTGATGTTGTTTCCTGATCAGACCTGAGGGCATTGAGTCCCCATGCTATGGGGAGGAGTCATCCTGTTGGATGCCCAAGTTTCTGAGCCTAGAGTCACTGCTCTGTCCTTCTTCCTGGGCAACCTGGCCTGAGTGTGGAAAAGACAGACCAGAAATAGGACGTTTTATGGGTTTGTCCTACTCTTTCCTTGACATCCCAGGGCCCAAGGTTACCCTTCACTCTGCCCAGGGATGAGGGGTACAGGCAGGCCTACGCCCTGGATATCCACCGCAGAAAGGGAGGGATACTTAGCTACTCTGCCTGCTGGGGAGAGGGAGGGCAGTGGC